CCCCCCCCCCGTAGTCCGCCCCTCCCTCTCTGCGTGTGGCTTACTTGGCCGCTGAGAGCCACGACGGAAATGGCTTGCTCTCCGTATCATGAGTCATCCGTCAGTGCCTTGGTGTCGGTGAAACATGCCGGTGTGCCTCCAGCCGCCGTGTACGCTTGTCTGCCTGGTTGGTTATCGGTGCACACCCAGAACGGAGAGGCACACATTGAAAGAGGGATTCAAGTGCCATTTCTGATGGATGTTTTGCTCACGTCAGGCAGTGGGAAGCTCAAGCGGTGCGCAGAGCGGAGAAAACAGCAAACAGGGGCAGATGCGCCTCAAGTCGATCCTCCGTCGGTGGAAAGTACTCGAGTGGCTTTTGCGGGCCTGTCAATGGTTTTGGAGGGTCATTGTTACTTCAATGGACGTCACAAAGCGAGCAGATAAGCAGAAAACAAAGGCCGCGGGTCGGTGTGTGTGTCTTGGTGTGTGCAGGCAGTGGCTGCTGTTGGTGTGGCCTGAGCGGTTAGATGGCCGTGGCCTGTTGAGTCCCCGGCTGACAGGTGAGGTGCTCAACAAACGCACAGGCAAGAGCAGCAGACGACACAAGTGCTCATGCGGGGCAGCCTCTGTTTGCCTGTCTGTCTGTCTGTTGCACCGAGTGGGCCGCATGGGTGTGAGGTGCGGTGTGCTGGCCGTGGCGTCGGAGGGGCGATAAGTCATGTGAGGCGCTGGCCGATCGATTGACGTGGCAGGCGGCAGTGTGTCATGTCATGGGCTGGTCAAATGGCAGGGCAGCTGACATCCATGCGTCTGTGAGTGCGTGGGTGAGTCTGTGGGTTTTCCTTCTGAGTTGCGTGTATGTAACCTGGGTTGTCTGTCTGTCTGTCTGTCCGGTGTGATGTGTGTGGGTCTGTCTGTCTGTCTGTGTGTGTGATGCGTGTGTGTGTGTTGTGAGACGTTTGATGTCAATTCTTCCCGGCCGTCACGGGTTGGCCAATCAGACGAAAAATAGCACCGACAGTCAAAGATGAGAGTCACCACGCACGAGTCACCACACGAACCATACACAATGCAACACAAACAACACGACAAGCCGCCCACCGACTCACCGCCCACTGACCGCCCGCCGCCATCACACACACCACACCCCGCACCACCGCCTCCACCCGCCACCAGGCCGCTGTATCAATCGGCCTCCCACCTTTAGTTCCCTCACACCGCCCCCTCCGGCACCCGCCACAGGCCAGCGAGCATCTTGCGGGCCTTCTCGCGCCGCTCCTCGTTTGCCCACATGGCGATGGTGTGGTGGGACGCCTTGGTGCGGACCCATGTGGTTGGGTCGGGGAGGATCCACTCGGGGGGGTAGTGGGGGTACACCTCCATGTCGTAGTAGTATGGCTTGCTGTCGAAGTACTTCCCGGCGAGGTCGAAGTCGAAGACCATCTCGTCCTTCGGCGGGGGGCCCCACAAACGCATGGCATCCCCAACCGGATCGTAGTCGACGATCTGGTCCTCTCCTCCTCCCCCGCTGGCCCCTCCCTCCTCCCCACTGGTGGCGCCCTGGCCGTTGTCCTCCTCTCCTCCACTCCCTCCCTTGACGGCGGCCTCCTCGCCTTGCTGTGCGGCCTTGGTGTTATCGACTGTGTCGGCCGCTCCTTCCCCCTCTCCCTCGGCCCCCTCGGTCTTGGGTGGGCTGTCGTAGTGTGGGGCGGTCTCTTCCTCCTCTCCCTTATCATCTCCCTCCTCCTCTCCCTTATCATCTTCCTCCCCCGCCTGCTGTGCCCCGGCATCTTCCGTCTCGCCCGCCTCTTCGGTGGCGGTGGCCGCCTGGGGCTGCTGGGTCGGTTGGTGAGATGATGACCCAGTCATCTTGTGGGGGAGGCCGCGGCGTGTCGGTGGTATCCCCGTTGTGCTGCGCGTCGGTGGTGTTGTCGGACGGACCAGTGCTGCCCTGAGCACTGCATAAGAGACACATGCAGATGGAGAAACAGGGATGACAGAAGAGCCATGGATAAATGGTCGATGCATGCAGAGCAGCACTTCGTCCAGCTTACATCGTATTGTGGCCCAAAGCGCACCAGCCGTCCTCCACATCCACCTCGGCGCAGCTGACGGGGATCTCCCTGACGCGCTCGCGGGCCTCCTCCCTCTTGGCAGCCTTAAACGCCTTGCGCCGACCCCAATAGTCGAATAGGATGTAGCCGAGGTCGTTGAGGGCAGTGGTGGCCACCTCACGGTCCCCGGCCTCTCGGTAGAGGGTGTGGGAGTCCCCTCGGGGCGGCGCAGGCCTCACACGGCTGGAGTAGCTACTGCCCATGGTGTGCTGTGTGATGGGGCGGGTGGTGGGGGCAACAAATGGGCAGATGCTGCTGGCAGGCGGCTTCTTCGCAAGCTCAGACGCCCCCAAAGACGCCTCGGGGCCATATTTCCGCTGCAATGACAGGGCTGCTCTGCACAGGGCCATTTGTAAGCCGGGTCACGACAGTGCACATTGCAAGAGAAGCGGACTCATCGATTTCTCTCTTGTTCGCAGCAGTGGCTCAGCCTGTCTTTTTGTGAGGTCAGCTTCCTCGTGTGCATCCCAGCCGACCTGCTGGGCGTCATCCTCTTTGCACTTCTCATCCACCAAAGCAGGCACAGACGAAAGCCGCACATGAGATGCATGGCCGGCACAGCAGCGTCCTATCTGTGTGTCGGCCGTGGTGTGTGCAGGCATGTGTACGTCCTCCAGTACTTTTGTCTCGGGCGGCGGTATCTGCGACTCACCCTCTTCATGGCCATCGCATCCGCTGCTCTCTTGGTAGGTACATAAAAGCGTCCGTCCACATCACGGCAGACATGTCATTTGTGTCGTTGCAGCTTCGTGTGGTCGTGTTTGGGAGCCCCGCCGTTGGTTGGGGCGCGTTCGATACCAACATGTCAGTTATGCTGCAAGTCGCACTGTGGGTACGCAGAAGGGGCGGCATCCGCTCTGTTAAGTATGAATGGATATCGATTGATTCACTTCTCGCGTGTCAGGCGCTGTGTTTTCTCTGGGTTGTCAAGGATGGTGTCTCAAAGACCATCGTACAAAAACAAGCGAAGACACACGTGGGGAGACACACATGCGCTGGCGCACGTCTTGTGTGCTCTCATCAGGCTCCCCGCGTGTTTTGGGCGGTCCAGGCCTTTGTTCACCTGGCGTGGTTTTATGCATTAGTTGAAGTTGGCCTTCCCGCTTCGTCGCACCACCACAATCACGTCCCGACTGCGAAGAGCGTGCCGCAGTGGCTTCGCCAGTGCGGCGTTTTCGCAACGCTGGTTGGCTCCATCGCGGCTGTCCTCATCGGTGAGAGACATACAGGGCTTTTCTGGGCAATGAGATGCAGGAAATGACTGACTGTCATCCACAGGTATCCTTGCGGCGTTTCCCGACGACGGTGACTGGACTGTGATTGTCGTCCGGCGCCCGAGCGTTGTCCCACTGTCGCCGCGAAGAGCCCCAAACTTCCAGGTACGTGAGACACAGACACTATGCAGCACAGACACCTAAATAGACGATCGAGACATTGACTACAGGCGATCGATGTGATGTACCAAGAGGCCATTGAGGCCGGACTCGCAACTGGAGACCCGTCTCTCGACTCACGCACTTCGCCGGCGCCCTCCGACGCGTTTGGAAACTGGTAATGGCACTTTGGTGTGGTTATGTTCCCGCTTATACGAATCTATCCATGCCTGAAGGTATCATTTATTCCGGGCTGACCGCGCCACCACTCGACGGCACGGCAGGCGCCATCATCGCCACCGGAAAGCTGCACTGCGGCAGATATTGCTGGAAGACGTTGGAGGCCCGCCACGAGCTGACTCAGAGAGTCTGCGGCCACGCTTCCACACGCACAAAGGAGCGAGCAAGGCGCTGACTTCCCTGTCTTCTGACATTTGTAGGCAAGAGACATCTATGCCTCCAGCATTGCATTGTATGCCTATGTATCTGTCTATCTGAAGTGGCTTCTAAACTCCGAGCATCGGAGAGCCGTCCTGGTGATGCACCATCTGAGGTCAGCTCCGGGACATCTGAGACGACTCCTCGACGCCCATGTATTTCATTTCCGGCACCAAATGAAGCAGGGAGAGATGAGGGACATTTGCGAGGCCCGCTCACCCCATTGGCGCATCAGAGGAGGGCTTTCGGTCTGATCGGCAAAAGAGGTCGAGACGCCAGAGACAGGTCATGGGCGCAGGGGTTTCAGGGATGGCTGGACAAAAGGTGAACCGGTGACGACAGCTAAGTGGATGTCCCGTAATACGAGAGATGTGGTGTTTCTGTGCGGTGTCTGGCGGTCAGGTGCGGGATTGCGAAAGCCTGGCAGCAGACATTTTGTTGCATATCGAAAGACACTCTGACGTACCAGTCGCCTGTCGAGGGCGCGCCTCTCACGGAGATCCCGCTCATCGGGGCATCGATCCATCTCTTCACCGTACAACGAAACATTTGTGGAGAGACACACTAAACCAAAATGCAGTCATCCCCGCATCTGTGACTTCAGGACCGCGATGCATCGCCAGAGGCGTCAGCCCTCGCCGCCGTCTGTCCTGAAGGTTTTGAGATTGTCCCCGCACCGCCACCCCCTGACCCGCTTCCCATCTCAAGGGGCCAATCCAGCCAGAAGGATGAACCGACACAAGAGCTGCTCAGCGGCCATGGTCTCCCTCCAAGCATCGGCCAGACGCATCTGAGGGCGCCTCTCTACTTCAGGGCTGGATCTGTCGCTGGGCGCGATCGATGGGTGACGGAGCTAAAGAGGTCGACAGGGAAAGCCACCATGATGACGCAGCTGCCTCTAGAAAGCCGTGATGTCGAGAGAGCTATGGATGAGGGTGAGAGAACTTGCAGCCACTTTGGCCGAGTGAGTGCCTTCACCACGGTCCCGGAGGAGCTTGAAGGGGACAACGGAGATCCATCACCGCTGGTCGTGAGGGAGGTGTGCGTGGGGAATGATCGGAGACACGACCAAGCGGGACCGCCAAGCCCCCCTTGCCATTCATCTCCTTCGCCCCCACTGCCCAAACATCTCTCGTCCCCCGCCCTCGCCAGCCATCCGGCATTCACACACCACACACGAGCTGCAGGTCGGGTCAAGGAGAGCCCTGGGGTCTTTTCGGAGGATGATGAGCAAGGGGAGTTGTCGAGTGCCGACGATGATGACGACATGAATGGGGAAGCCGCGCTGCCCCTCACGATGCCATCCTTCCTTTCGACCAGCTCGGTGTTGATCAGGCCATGTCCATCGTCGATCGGAGGTAAGCCGATGGGAACATGAATATCTCGTCTCATCCTTGTTTTGCCGTGGCCGTTACAGAGCTGGATTTGGCGGACATTGGAAGCTCCTTCCTTCTCACTGACAGCCAGCCCCGCCATGCGCCCGTTAAGGATGACGAGCACAAAGCCTCACTTGGGAAGAAGCCAGTCTCACCAACGAGAGGAGGAGAGGACAATGAGAGCGAGTGCACAGGAGATCGGTGTGGTAGACAAGGTCAAACAAAGTTCGACAAGGTCAACAACCACGCCTGTATGCTGTTCGCCAAAGTGAATGTCGAATTGGACAGTCAGCCCCTCCTGCTCAAAGAAGCGATGACACGACGGCTCTTCGAGGTCTTCGTTGTAAGACTTGTCGGACCGGACAGGCTCAGTCTCAAATGTGTTGGCAAGAGATGGACAGATTTTGCTGAGCTGTGGCGAAGCGTAAGAGATGGCGGGCCCAGCGTAGAAGGAAAAAGTGAGATGGGGCAATTTCGGCGGCTGTTTGCGCGGCCGCCGTGCGGGAGTGGGAGATACGTGCGGTTTGACAAGCAAATGGAGAGAAGGAGAGACGACATGCAGGGATTTCTGAATGCTGTCGGGGAGACGTCTCCCGCTGCTCTGCTGGCGTTCGTCAACGCGCCGAATCCGGCGCACATCGATTACCTCGTCAAGGCATACTACTATCAGGGCACCTGGTATGGCACAACGCTTCGTGTTGCCGTCTTGTCTCTTCCGTATATCTGATTTGCACACGTTCAGGCGCCGTAACCACTTCGTCAGCAACATTGTTGTCACGGAGATCGCTGGAGACGTGTCATCGAGACGCTCCAGACGAGCGACGGACACAAGCGACTCCTCACTGCCTACGCCCTCGCACTCTCCGAGACATGTCTATCCTTCAACAAACGCAGCAGAAGACACTCCACGCAGCCCTCGACAGCACCTCCCCTACCGTGGTTGTCGATATGCCATCGAGATGAAGGTCGACACACAGACCAGGCGACTGTTCAAGACATGGGCTGATTTCGAGACTCTAAGAGCGACCCTAGAGGCCAAGTTCCCTTTCCTGCTGCTGCCCACTTTACCTTCCCGGCTTCAGCTTGGTCTGACGGGCATTGCCAATCATCACAAAGGGTCGGAGAGCTCGGGACGTGTCAAAGCCCTGGAGCAGTTCCTCACCCTGGTGATGGGCGACCCATGTCTTTGGTGCGACGATCTGGAACGATGGATCGACACTCCCCCGTCTGGGGGAGACACCGATTTCACTTATATGCTGCAGAAAAAGGGGGCACGGGAGAGAGGCAGAGAAGGCGGCTGCAAAATGGTGGAGGGGGCCGATCGGAGTAGGGATGGCTCCACGAGAGGGCATGGCAAGAGCGCGTTTTGGCCTTTTCTAACGCGGTCAGCTGTGACAGCGGATGATGTGCGTGTCAGTGTGGATGGACATCAAGCCCAGCTATGATCGATATCTTCATTTTGCCTTCAAGTAAAAGACACTCATCAGTGTCCTTTGTGGGGCTGTGGGGCATCACTGGCATGGATGGCTTGTGGGGGAAGGAGACGAGTACATGCACTCTTGTTTACTCATCTTTCCTCGTTGTTTTCCTTTCAGTGCATTTGCTTTCCTTTCCACCCCACAATATTACACAAGTGAATGCCCACAGTAAGTACTAGTTGCACCAGGAAGTTTGCTTATGAGAGCGCAGACAGAACGAAGAAAGAGGAAGAGAGAGAGACACGGCAGACCAAGAGACACAGACGTCTGACTGACTGATCACTGACCATCACATGGGGGCACTCACACTGACATCAAGCGATCGACGTCCAATATTTAGACACATGCATACGTGTACACCACGACGTCTTGGGTCGACTGACTGACTGACTCACTGTTTGTCTCTTCTCTCTTTGCTCGACCGATTCATTCGTCTGGCCATCCGGCTGTCGGTCACACCAGCATGCCGCCCAAGGGTGGAGGCAAGGGCGGCAAGGGCCTCTCGTTCGACGAGAAGAAGCGCAGACTCACCGACGCCATGCACAAGAGCAAGTCATTCTTCACCATGAAGCAACTAGAGAAGCTCGGTAAGTGATCACACGCCGCTGCCCATGGTTGATTGTGTCTCACTCTGTCTGTGTGCAGCTACTGGTGTCGGGATTGTGCTTCAGTCGGTCAAGGACGTGGTGAATGAGCTCGTGAAAGACGGCATCATACTCACAGACAAAGTCGGCGCATCCAACATCTAGTGGTCAGCCAACTCCATCCATCAGGCGAAACACGTGCATGGATGTGCCGTTCTTTGTGTGTCTGTGTGTGGACTGGCCGCGCAGGGCGTTGCCATCTGAGCAGAAGAAGGCTCAGGAAAGGCTGCTCACCTCGTTGCGGTGAGGCGGCCTTCCTGTCTCTGTGCCATCAGTGTGTGTCATCGAGTTGTTGTGTGTCAGTGAGGAGGAGGCTCGTCTGCGTGATGAGCTCGAGTCGATGTCGGTCAAGCTGGACGAGGCCCGCAAGAGTGCCGGTGACGCGACATACAAGGCCAACCTCGACAAAATGCTCACACTGCAACAGGAGACGGAGGTCACACTCACACGCACAAGAGAAAGACAAGGAGAGACATGGTGTTGTGCTGTGTGACAGGAGTTGGACAAGTCGCTGGCTGCGTTCCGTTCCAACGACCCCCGTGCCATCCAGCAGAAGCGACAGGAAATCGACATGGCCAAACAAGCCGTCGAGAGATGGTAAGACATGCACTCATTCGTCTAGCGACAGGCACGAGCTCCCTATCTCTCTGTGTCCTCTGTGTGTGTGTGTGTGTGTGTGTAGGACCGACAACATCATCACGGCCCGTCGATGGATGTCCCGTGAGCAGGGCGCGCCGCTGGAGGAAATCAACAAGCACTTCGAATTCCCACCAGAGCTCGACGAAGAATGAACAAACGGACAAAGGAATACACGCATCTGTGACCGGCGGAGAGATACAGAATGTCTGCGTGCGTACGTCTGGTGTGTGAGGACTGATGACGTCGACGTACGTGTGAATGCGCTTCATCGCAATGTTCGCGTTCCTTTCCAGTCCGTGTGTCACATGAACTAACATCTAACCACACCCCCGAGGAAACACGCACGTCAGTCAGCAAACGGAACCCGAGCGGATGATTATATCAATCATCAAGAAACATGTCAGTCGTATGTCTGCCGTGTGTTGCTGTGTGCCTTTCACAAAAAGTGCATTGTTGTGTGGGTGTCTCTTACAAAAACCGCCAACTAGCGCAGTCACACACACACACACACACACAGTCGTCAGGATATAGCGCGGTCCAGCTGGGGAAAATCGGGCGCTATATGTTCCTACTTCTAGGGCAGATCGATCCAGCAAACCAATCCATGCAATTAAACCAAACCCAGGCCGCCCCCTTCCCCAAAATCACAATAATCAAAGACGGCCCACCCGCCGGCCCCTCAGGCAGACAGGCAGGCAGTTGGTGTGGTGAGACTGGGTTTACTTGCCGTAGCTCTTCATCATGTCGTGCACAGCCCACCAGGCGGGCTTCTGCGCGTAGTTCTCGTCGTAGAGGAGTGGGCGGGAGTTCTTGAGCCACGTGTTCTTGTCGGAGACGCCCCACATGACGAAGGCGGTGCAGTTGGGCTCTTCCAGGCACACTGCCATCAGCCTTGAATACACCTCAGCCTGCAATGACAAGGGATACATCTACCTGTAAGGTGAGAAATGCGTCCGTGGCCTGCCTGCTCCACGCTCTCCCTCCCCACCTACCTGGCGTGCAGCCTGTCCGTTGTCCCAGTCGGGGCATGGGACCCATTTGTCGCCGCCCACCATTTCGCCAGTGGGGGCCTGCCACTCACCGCAGCCCACGTCCAGCTCGGTGAACTGGACTTCCAGGCCGAGCTCGCCGTATCGCTGGATGTTCTTGCGCACACCGGGGACCAGGTCGTAGTAGGTGTTGATGTGCAGCTGGAATCCCACGCCGTCGATGGAGTTGTCCTTGGCCAGACCCTTGACCATGTTGAACATGGCGTTGGACTTGCCGCTCGACCAACCATCCTGGGCAAACCACCAGACCAGAGACATGGAGGGAATGGTGCTCGCATGTGTCTCTCGGTGTGTCGTGAGTGCGTACCATCGAGGCGACGCCGTAGTCGTTGTAGTAGAGCTTGAATGGCTTGCCCTTGGCCGACAGGGCCTTGTGGGCGAGGTGGAAGGAATACGACACCCAGTCGGGGATGGCGGGGTACAGGGCACCGTCTTCGCGGTACTTGGGGGTCTTGCCACCGTCAGGCTGGTTGTCGTTCAGAGCTGAGTGCACACACCAACATCAGCAACATGCCTCTGCACTGTGTCTGCCTGGACGCCCTCTCCCTCCGTCCCTGTCTCACCTTCGTTGGCGACATCCCACCAGAGGGCCTTGTCAACGTAGTGGTCGACCACCTTGTCGGTGAAGGTCTTGAGGGCAGTTTTCTTGTCGTTAGGGCTGAGTCCCTTGAACCAGCCCGGGATGGAATAGTACCAGGCCAGGGCGTGGTAGCGGAACCCCATACGACTGGCTTCGCAGAAATCAGCTATCCTATTGAGACACGCCGACACACAGAGACATGCAGATGGATGGGTCGTTCCTTTCTTCCTTAGCCATCCATCGTACTGACTTATCGCAGAGGCCCCAGTTGATGTTGTTGCCGTTGCTTGGCGCCATTTCTGACATTTTGCATTCCCACTCGGCGACGGCCATGTTGTACTGCTCAGCGAGGGTGCGGAGGTATTTTTGGTCGTTCATGTTGGCCGTGTTGATGGCCGAGCCGATGTAGAGCTTACGGCTGTCTGCCAACGCACGAAGAGTGCCTGGATACGCACATATGTGGAGAGAGGGACACAGAGAAGATATATGAGTTCGTATCATTCGTGGGCACAAGTGGACAACTAGGCACACATACCTTCTTGCGACTTGCCGAATTTGATGAAAGAGTCCTTAGTGGTAAGCTGGAACTTCTCCTGGCCGCCCGGGTTCGGAGCACCAGGAGTGTCCGGGGCGTCCGGGGCGTCAGGCATGGGCGGAGCTGACCACACAACAGGCATTCCATTCATGCACCAGTGACAGTGACACATGAACCGTAGCAGAGCAACACTCATGCCATGTCTCCCTCCCTCCCTCTTCTATCTACGGCACAGTCTAGTCTGCCCCGGTTGCGTTGCCTTATATATCCGTACCTCCTTTGCACTGTTTCGGTCCAGAGATAGTCAGCGCATCCCCAGTCTGCTTTGTCTTCTTCTGTTTCGACCGGTGCAGCTTGCATCGCATCTGCAGCGGGACGAAGGTGAAGGCGTTGCACTCCTTGTTCCCCTGACACAGGTGCTGGCACGCCTCGGCTGTCAGCACGTTACGCACCCTGAGCACGAGCTTGCTCTCGAACTGAACGCCCTCCTCATAACACTCTGGCAGCCAGCCACACCATGAACGAACGAGACACACACCGACACAGAGAAGAAAAACCCAAGGGGGCATTCATTCCCCCTCTCATAAGATTCCGGCATGCATACCGGGGAAGCATGTCTTTGGCCCAGTGAGGGCCCTCGGGTCGTCTTTCGGTTTGCCCTCGAGGGCCTTCTCGGACTTGAGCCAGCACTCCTTCTCGTTGTCGCGGTAGTTGAAGACGGCGCACTTGGCGTGTGCCTGGCACTTGGACTGGCAGTGCTCGGCGGAGCTGATGTCCTTCCAGTTCACCACATCGGACCCCGCGTAGTCCTTGCCCGGGGTGTAGCAACCTGACGGATGGGAAGGAGAAAGAGAAAACAGATGGGGTGGCGCCGATGGGCGACATATGGATGGCTTGCCAGACGCTCCTCACCTTCTGGCACTTTGAGGCCTCTCAATGAAGCCCCCTGGTTCGATGTGGCATCTTTTGCGTAGGCCCCAGCGGCCAAGACCACCACCAACAAGAAAGCAGCTGTCGTGGCCATTCTACGCCTGTCGTTGTTCTCCGGCCCCAGAGCACGACGATCCAAGAGGGGGAGCGGATCTCTGGTGTTTGAGAGCCTACAAAAGTCCGGTGGTCAAGCCTGACAGGTAGCCTAGACGCCCTTGACAACACTGCGGTGGCCTTGGCCGGGCATTCGCCCTTTTCGGCAAAACCCTGAAACCCAAACCCTACACCATTGAGGCCGAGCTCGGTCCCAGATGAGAGGGAAGCAACTGGAGGAGATCTGATCGTTAACTTATCTTTCCAGCGCCAATGTCGTCATCATGGGTGAAGATGCTCTGCCTTGTGTGCATAGGCGTGTTCCTCAACTTCCTGCAGGTACGCACAACAAAGGTTGTGTGTGATTGGAGGGAGATCCATGCGTCAAGTGCTGTGGTGCTGTGCTGTTTGTGGTGGTGTCAGAGGATGATCCTTTCGTCGGCCATCATTCCGATGAGCGGCTCGATGGGATGGGACAAGCAGCAGCAGGGCTTTGTGCTACAAGCCTTCTTCTGGGGCTACGTGTCGACGCAGATCATCGGCGGCTCTGTGGCTGACTATTCTGCGAAGGAAGTGCTGACCGTGAGTGTGGTCGGCAGTGCCCTGCTCGGTGCCGCCACACCTTCGACGGTAACACACAAGCGAAGGAGCGTGTGTGCTTGCAATTGTGTTCATTGATTCATTGATTCGCTGAATGCAATGCAGACGCTCCACTCTGGGCTCTGGGGCCTGATTGTTGTTCGAGTCGCGATGGGTCTTGTGCAAGGCGCCATGTATCCCAGCATCCACTCACTCGTCAGCCGGCACATCCCCCCCTCCAGCATGTCGGTTGCCTCTGCCCTCCCGCACTCGGCCTTGTACGTGGGGCTCGTGTCCGCCTTCTTCATCACGCCTCTCGTCGGCGGCAAGAAGGGGGAAGTTGTCCCACCAGCAGCAGCAGACACAGGCAGCAGCTGGTTGCAAACCTGGTTCCCTGAGTGGAGCCTGCCCTTCTTCCTCTTCTCGGCCGCAACGCTACTGTGGCTTCCCTTCTGGACGGGGCTTTCTTTAGGCGGCAAGGAGTCCACTAGCGATGCCGCTAAGAGTGAAATCCGCGACGGCCTGTCGGTGCGTGTGAGGGGTCTGAGCGAGAGCACTCGGACGTGTGCCGAATCATCCAGCAGCAAGGTGCAAGAGGACAACAGCCCCACTGAGGTGAATCGCCTCAAGAGTGACGACGAGCTGATGAGTCCACAGCCCGTCCCCTCCGTCCCGTCGGAGGACGCCATCTCTCCACCCCTCCCCACCAGGCCCCACATGGACTCCCAAGACAGCCCTGCTGCCGCTGACGACAGTCCGCGCAAAGGCGAGCGGACTGGCCTTCTTTCGTTGGATGCCCCCAAACTCCCCGTGCGAGAGAGGAAGGACTCCCCGAAGCGCCCTCCGCGCACCCTGCCTGTGCAAGCGAGGCTCAAGGCGGCGATGGAGGGGAAACGAGAGCGTCCACCTGCACAAAAGGCTGCCAAGCACACGTGGCGTTACACACTGCGGATGTGGTTTGCGTTGCTGTCTTATCGGAGTGTGTGGGCTCTTCTCGGGTGCCATTACGCTGTCTGCGGACCTAGGGTGAGCACCCAACGGCACGCCCACACGAAACGGTCTGAAACCTTTGTTCTGATCCTTTCTTTTCTTTTCCTCCGCACACAGATCGCGCTGATGACGTGGGCTCCTTCGTTTATCAACGACCGGTTCTCCGTCTCTGATGCAGAGCTGGGGTTCTTCTCGTCACTGCCCTATGTGGCCATGGCGGTTGCCAGTGCCTTCGCTGGTCTGCTCGCCGACATGATGATCCGAAAAGGGTAAATTGGTGTGCAGCTGAGCTAGTTGACAGTGCCTTCTCGCTGCCAACAAAATAATTGGGCAATCAATATCTCTGTTTTGCTTCCTTTGCTGTTCTCCATCCAGATGGCGCGTGATTCATGTGCGCCGGTTCATCCAGGCAGTGTCGATGCTGACGGCCGCCCTGGCCATCCTGGGCCTTGCTTACGAGGCCGCCTCGCCCCTCGTCGCAACACTGTTCCTCACCCTGGCGACTGGGAGCGATGCACTGGGGTACGGAGCGCTAAATGTGATGCACTTGGACATGGCGCCGACGATGGCTGGGCTGCTGTACGGGACAAGCAACACATTCTGCAACCTCGGGGGGATCGTTTCGGTGCCGACTGTGGGGTGGTTATTGAGGAAGGGCGAGGAGGCGGGAATGGCTGTGGGCGATAGGTGGCGATGGGTCTTCTTTATGGTGAGGGAGTGAGTGATGAGAGCAGGGATGCGCAGCGCCCACATACAGACCTCCACAGCACATGCCTTCGTCGTTCCCCTGTCTGTGTGCATCTGTGTGTGCAGTGCATAGCTCATTATCTGATTGGTGTTGTGTGGTGGCTGTGGGCGTCGAGTGATGAGCGCATCGACACAGCACTCGAGGCCAGGCTCAGGAAGCAGCACAGCGGTGCAGACGAGCGGGATGCGAGTGGTGGGGGTACGGCTGCTGTCAAGGAGGGGCATCACGGTGCTGAGAGCGGGTCATCAAGTGTGTGAAGACGGTGGTCGATGGATGGATGGATGGAGATGCTTAGATGATGAGCATTGCCCCCCTGTATGGCATGGCATAGCATAGCGTGGTATGGATGGCGTCGTGTGGCATGGTTCGCTCGCTGCTACGGTAGGTACGGCACTCGTGTGGAGCTGGCTGACTGTACCGTACGGATTTGTTCATCGGTCGTGAGTGACATGATGTCGGTGAAGGCGACTAACTGTGAAGGTCTCCCTTCCTTCTCTCAAGCACCGTCATGCAATCCAAGTAATGTCCCCTGTACAGTCAGTCAGTCAATCACTCTGCAGGTCTGAGAGGGGGGCCCCGACAGGATCGGTGGACCGGATCAGGCCTTTGCTCTCGAGAGTGAGGCACTTCTGCAGCAAATCCACCGCATCACGGTGCCTGCACAGAGACATCACACACTTCCATCCATCCATACCATCGATCAGAATCGCAGTAACCAACCGTGTGTGTTGTGTTGTGTTGTCCTTCACTTCACCTCACCTTTGGGCCCTCTCACGGTAGAATTCGATGGGCACGCTGTGGCGCTGAATTCGGTCCCTGACATCCCAGAGACAGCAGACAGAGAGGCCCATAATGGCCAATCGATGGTGCACTTGTTGGCCTGACTGACCACGAGTCGACGCTTTTCTTGAGCATCCCCTTGAAGTGATGCATCTACATACACACACAAAACATGTTATGTTGTCTGGTCTGCCGTCCAGTCCATGTGGGTCCGTCCGTCTGTCTGTCTGTCTGTACCTCCTTGGGCCGCACGAGTGTGTAAGTCGCCCCGAGCCTGCCTGCGCGTGCTGTGCGGCCAGCTCGGTGGATGTACGTGCGGAGGGACGTCGGCACTGACCGAATCGAATCAGCAGGCAGGGCAGCTCGTGTGTGTGGCGTGTGCAGGGAGGGTATGCTATGCGGGCGTGGCGTGGAGTATCTCTCTGACTGACCGTCATAGTTAAGGACGCCATCCACATCGCTGATGTCGATACCTACACGGCCACACCACATGTGCCAAGCATGCACACGATGGGCCCTACTAGTCGTTGCTGGGCTCGCTCTCACCTCTGGCCACCACATCGGAGCACACCAGACACCCAATCGAACCGCTCCTGCACACACACACACACATCCACGTGGACACACACCTATTTCCCCACGAATGTCACTTGAAGTCCTTCATGAGCTTGAACCGCCGTTGCTGATTCAGTGACGCCGAAAACTCCGCCACGCGAAGGCCAGACAATCCACCATCACCACCCTCTTCACGCTCGTCACCCTCCTGCCCTTGTCCTGCCTCCATCTGGACGAGGATCTGCAGCAGCCTGGCCAGCCGATGGGCCGTATCTCGCGAGGCGCAGAAGACCACACACCGCAGGCGATCCTCACCGGCAGCAGAGACCTGGCCCGTCAGGTGGAGCATGATGTGTGTGAGGGCGAGGGTCTTCTTGTCGTCCTGGCAGACGCAATAGAACTGCGAGAGGGATGCCGGCGTGCCGTACTGGCCGGTGTCTGACGAGAGGAAGAACAGGGGCCGGTGCAGCTGCAGGTGGGCCATCTTCTGGGGGTTCTTGGTCATGGTCGCTGACAGCACTGCACACATGACATGGTCAAGAGGGATCCGGTCCATCCCTTCTGTGTGTGGCGTATCTGGTTTTCATGCCTCTTACGTAGTTTCTGAAGCGGGCATCTTCCTGTGTTGAGGCTGACCATTTGGCGACCTGGACCGTCCGACATGCCTTGAGGTGGTCCATGCCGCCGATGGACCATCTGCATGACCACCTGCAGCCACTGCTGATACGCCTGCATCCACACCACACACAACACACATGCTCCCCTGTGGAAATGAATCAAGGCATCGCATCGACGGGTACATGTCTGTCGCCCACACCTGCGTGAGCAGCCGGTCTGCCTCGTCCAGCACAAGCCACCGGACGGCCGCGAAGATGCCTCCACCCCCTCCCTCGTGTCGACAGTGCTCCACAAGCCGACCAGGGGTGCACACCACTATGTCAGGGGGGCCGCTACCGCTGCTGCTGCTGCTACCGCCGATCTGCCGCAGCTCCTCGCTGAAGGACGTCTGGCCGACGAGAGACACTGCTCGAAGAGTTGCTGTGGATGGGCCTGTGTAGGATGCGTGCGGGGTGCCGCAGAATTTGTTGAAGACGGTGTGTACCTGGTCGGCCAGCTCGCGTGTGGGCACGATCACCACTGCACGGATGCGGGGCACTGCATGAATGCGGGCAATGCAGACGGGCAGGGGGAGGGGAGGAGGAAAGGCGAAGGGATGAAAGTAAGTATCAATCCATCCATCCCATCCCATTGCAATGTGATTGACCGGATTGTGTATTTATTACCCAGTCGGTCATAGAGCACTTGCACGATCGGAATGACGTAACACAGAGTCTTGCCCTGACCTGACACAGACAAACAGACAGACAGACAGACAGACAGACAGAAGTGAAGCCATTGGCATTGAAAACGTCCGTGTCCGTGTGTGCGTGCGGTTGTGTGTATCTGTCAGCTCATCCACCCATATATTCATCCATCCCTCCATCCATGTATCCCTCACCTGTGGGCGCCGCCACGCACATGTCCGATGCGAATGAAGAGTCCACGTCGGCATCGGAGCCGCGAAGCAAGAACGGAATCACAGCCTCCTGAACTGCACACAACACAACACAATACCATAAGAGATAACAAAACAACACAACACAAACACACGCGGCCCTCTCCGCCCGTCGTGTCGTCCAGGCCACGGTCTCACTTGGGAAAAGATGTCCAATCGAGTTGCGTCTGAGCACGTCCACCACCCTCGGATGCAGCGCAACGCCCCACTTGGAGAACCACCCACCGACACTTCCCTCGTCAAACCCATTGTTATTATCAGCAGAGGCGCCCCGCTTCCTCTTCCTCTTCTTTCTCTGGCCACCACCTTGCTTCTCCTCTTGCTCTTCATCAGCCATTGCTGCTGCTGCCTTCATGGGCTGCACCACCCAGTATCGCGACGTCCAATCGGGCCGCGGAGTGGCCGCTTCCGTCGCTGATGAACCAGACGGTGGACCAGCACCCTGATCAGTGACACCACCTTCACCAAACAGCGACTTGGCGTCCTCGGCATCATCCTTATCGTCTTGATCTCCCGTTTTCTCGTTGGGCGGCGGCCGTGGCGACTGGCGGACGGCTGTGGGATTAAGCATGCGGCGAATGTCGAGCAGTGAGCTGAAGTCGGCTGCTGCAGGGGCACTCTCGTCCTCAGCTGGCTCCTCGGAAGTGTGCTGTGAGGTCTGGACCTGATGATCTTCCTCCATTCCGGCGTCCTTGGTTTCGTCGACTCTTCTGGCCGTGGTCTTCCTCCGTCTTTTCTTGCGGCCTGCCTCTTCTTCCATTGTCTGGCTATCAACAACACACTTTTCGAGCCTGTGGGAGGCAGATTTGGAACTCACGGTCAGCAGCGGGGGGATTCACGGCAGCGGTTTCAGGGAGCACCCTAGGCGGCCTGGCGGCCAAGTCCCCTGTTGGTCTGTCCAACATGAAAACACGCACCCTAACAGGCAACCCGGACACGCAACACGCAGCACGCAGAGGGCAGATGCAGCAAACAGGAGGATATGCAATGCGCTGCGAACGACGGCAACATACAGGCAGGCACACAACGTCGCACACACGCCACCCCAGCAGCAGCTTGAAGGCGGCGTGCATGCGTGCATCCTGCACCATGACTCCATACGTAGATACCGCCCATCCCCAGGTGGCCAGCCAGTGCAGATCGCCCAGTCACACACAAACACGCCCTTATAACAACCACGCACGGAGTGCTGGGGGTGTATGAGAGCGCGCCGCCGCCCCACTCTCCATGGCGGAGAGGGGCGGCAGGCGGCCGACCCGTAGACCCCCTCAGTGCACGCCCATATACACATCACCGCTGGGATAAGTAGAAGGGCGGCAAGACACACACACAGACCACGCCCACATCCACACTCACACCCCTACACACACGCACACGGCATCTGCGAGCTTAGCCGGGAGGAACTGCCACGCGGGGAAGGGACACGACAAAGATCGTCAGGCGTGGGTCCCGACGAGCACACCCATCGATTTGTTGCATCCATCGATGAGTGAGTCGGTGCGCAAAGATCTCCGGTCGCCACTCATCGGGACGGAAGGCAAGTCGCCCACCCATCACCCCAACGCACGCAATGTGGTGGCTGACTCGTCGGGGGGACACGAGTCGCTCATCAGACCGCCAGAGGGCAGCGCGGCACGGGGAGTGACCTTCGACGAGCGAGGGAGGGAGGCTGCTGCTGCAAGTTCGGGCTGTTTTGGGAGGGGATACAAGCAGGAGATCATCGATGGCAGACTGCAGCAAGTGAGTGGAACGAATGGATCTGATCTGACGCCACACCACACTTGTGGTATGGATTGGTCCCCCCCCCTGTGTGTGTCTGTGTGTGTGGGTGTGGTGTGCCACCACCACAGCGTCCTGTCCGTGTGTGGGTGAGTTTTGCGGCCTTCTTCCTGTGCGCGTGGATGATAGCCTCCCTGTCGATCCTGCCGAGCACCAACCTGCCCCTGCAGCCCCAGACAGAGCTCCTCATCAAACTCTTCCTCATCCTGCACTTCGCCATGCAGGGCATCGGCGCCCTCCTGTTCGGCTTTGCGGCCGACTACTACGGCCGCAAGAAGGCTCTCCTGGCTTGCTTCGTCGTCATGTGTGCGGGCTCGGCGGGGTGCTTCGTGCTCACCGGGCAGGTCAACATCGCCGCCATGCAGCTGCACCCTGCACAAGCGAGTGTCCTGCCGTCGTGGGTGTGGTCTCTGCTGATCTTTCTGGTGGGCACTCTGTTGTCGTTCGGCTGCTGCGGTCTGTATCCGGTGGTGGGGACCTTCGCCATCGAGAGCATGGTTGCGTCGGTGCATGACGGCGATGAGGAAGACGAAGAGGAAGAGCGTGAGCATGAGCATAGTCAGGAGGATGCCGAGGAGGGGGAGAGGGAGAGGAGTAGGGAGCGGCTAAGGCGGGGCAGCAACTTTGAGGGTACGGGTCAGATCCAGCCTGACGTGTTGGGGCTGGGCGGGCGGCGAGGGAAGGGGAGAGAGAAGCTGGCCGTGTACCCGGGAAGGCATGTGCAAGTGGCCTGCCTCTTCTGCATGCAGGGTAAGGTACACACACAGACACACAGACAGACAGCTGAAGCGGCCAAACAGGGTTGGGTGATGTGTGGGTCATTCATTGTCTTGTGTCTGCCTGGTGTGGTCTGGTGTGATTGATGGGATCAAATCAAACAGGTTTGGCGCACATCTTGGTTCGGCTGACGGTGGTAATAGCTTTTCGATATGTCCCCAGCATGACCAGGGGGCTCGCGTGGAGGTCAGGGAGGGGGGGATGGGAGAGCTACACAACAGTCCACCCAGCCACCCAGCCACCTGTGGTCGTATGGGAGGTATCTGCGTGTGTGTGGGGGTGTGGTGTCTGTCAGGATTCTCGTGGTCGTTCCAGTGGTCCCCTCCATCATCCTTTTCTTCATCACACTCATCGCATGCAGAGAACCGGAGGTACTATCGCAACACACACACACACACACACACAGACAGAGAGAGAGAGAGGGAGAGAGTGCACATGTGAATGGATAAATGTGTGCAATCGTGTCTGTCGTGCATGGCATGCAGGTGTACAAGCTCCACCGCACCCGGCAGCATTTCTGCGGTTTCCTGCGGACGACGTGTCGTTACGGTCGGCGTACGATGCGGGCCATTTTGGGTGTGACGCTGCCGTGGGCGCTGTTTGACTTTACCTTCTACGGCAACGGCGTCTTCCACTTCCTTCTCGTCCACCAGATCAGGGGCTACGACAGCGCATGGCAACAGAACCTCACATCACTCGGTCAGCCAGCCCAGGCCAGGCCAGGCAGCCAGCAGATTTAATGAGCGCATGGGCGTGTGCGTGTCTGTGTATGTTTCTTCCTTTCTGTCGTGTGTGTGTGTGGCGTGGTTGGGTGCCATGCAATGCAGTTGTGGTGTCTGTGTCATTTGTGGGCTACGTGCTGGCCATCTTCCTCATATCGGCCATGGCACCCAAACAGGTAGGTGGGCCAGGCGCCAGGCCAGGCGAGGACCAGAGGCACCCCCCATTCATTCAGTGTGCTGTGTCTGTACCTACCGTCTCCCGCTCTCCTCTCCTCTCCTTGTGTGTTGTATCTTGTGTTATGTGATGTCATGTGTGCAGCTGCAGCTAGTCGGTTTTGTGGTGCTGGCCTTTGTCTTCTACGGACTGGCGCTCTCACTGTACAGGTCAGTCAGTCAATCTAGGCGTCGGTCAGACACACACATGACATGATACACACCGGAGAGGAGAGGGGACATTGGATGTGATGTATCTTTTGGTGTGTTGTGTTGGCTGGGCTGCATGGCGTGTTTGTTTTCATGTCATGTGGTGTGATGTGGGTATGCAGTATATCAAGTTACTCGAGCCACAAGATCCGTGACTACGTGGGCGCGTCACTCTTGTACGACTCGGTGTTTAGGTTCTTCAACTTCCCCCCCAACCTCACCACATACCTCATACCCCTCGAGTGCTTCCACACACAGGTATGTGCTGTGCTGTGCTGTGCTCCGTCCACCGCAGGCAGTGTGACACACATGCCCTGCCCACCTGTGTGTATCTCTGTGTGGGTGCCGCATGACATCAGGTGCGCGGGACGTTTCACGGCATTGCGACAGCAGCAGCCCGTGTGGGTGCCCTCCTGGGCCTGGTCTTCTCCTGGGCCCTCCTGGAGCAGTCGACACGCTCACTCAACCTACTAATCTGCTGCCTCACCGCCATACTTGGTAAGCGTACCCTACCCTACACACACCAACACGCCAGCCAGAAGGGAAGGCACACACTACACTGGGCTTGGCTGGCTCGGCTCGGCTCTGTGTGTGCCACCCCCCACAGGTACGTTGTGCACGATGATTTACACGCCGCACGTCAAGCCGGTGCAGGAGGAGCTCATGACGCTCGACGCAAAATACGCCGTATTCCTCACACCCGAATCGCAACCACAGGTAGGTATGTAGGTATGCTGTGCCGGGACGTACAGTACAGTAGACAGCTCACCACACCACAGAGACATACAAACGATTGATGCGATGCGATGCGGTCATGTCAATGTCATGTCTGTGTCCCCAGAGCATCCGTACGCCCATTCACCCGCGGCATGTGGGTCCCGCGGCCGACATAAGAGGGGCGCGTCGCAGCAGAGTCGGCGTCGAGTGGTGATGGGCATTCCATCCACACATACATCGGCCGATGGGGTCGGCCCATGGGTGGATGAATGGCCGGCAGCTGGGTTGGGCGGGCAGTTGTGGACTGACTGCAGGAGGGATGTGGCTGTCTGTGTGTAAGTGTGTGTCTGTTTTGAGCCTTTATTTGTGAGTGAGTAATGTTGATTGACTGACTGACTGCTGTGGTGGTCGGCCTTTCTGTCAGTCATTTTGTCGTTGTGACAAGATGCGATGCGATGCATGTCATGTCATTCCTGTCTCTCTGTCTATCTGATCGATGACGACACGAGCAGCACAACAGCGGACTGACTGTCGTTTGCGTACCTGCGAACGAATGCAAATAACTTTGACTGATGAAGCAGCTCGTCTGTACGTCGTCTGTCTGCGATCGATCGGTCCCTTGTGTATAACCGTCCCATCCATCACCATCACATGGCATGGCGAGCGAGGGCTCTCCCCCCCCCTCCCACATGCACTAATCCCCCCCTCTCCTGTCCCCTCACTCAAAGCCAGAGTTTCCTACGAGGCAGTCTTTCAGACATGTGGCCAGCGGATACAATGGACACTGTCCATCAGACACCACCAGACACTCCTCCGCTCACCCGGCAGACAGTCAGTTACTCGTGTCTCCTTCGTTGAAACCATCCAGTCGCCCTGCGGAACACGCACCAACACCCACACAATACATACCAAGTCATCTGCATTATGTGTGTGCCCTCACCTTCTGTCTTATGGCGCCTGGCCGTCGAGGACGATGGGGGCGGTGAGGCCGAGGGCGCGACGCACTTTGGCTGCCGTCAGGGGGAATCGCTGGGCGAAGGGCGCGTCATTGGCCACACCTGCTGCAGCAGCCTCGCTGGTATGAATCATGATGCGCCCTGCACGCAGCCATGAGCACAGAATCAGGCCATACGACAGCATGGGGGTGTTGTGGGTTTGCTGGTCTTACGTATGTGGGTAGGCGACTCGGGAATAATGCTTTCAACACGCATTCGTCACACCCAGACCTTGCGCACGCACTCATGTCCATCATGCAGCACCCAGTCCGCTACTGCAAGTTGTGTGTCTTTCCTTGACGTCAGCCAGCCACCCTGCAGAACACACCATCACCCACACAACAGCACATACATCGGGTCCTCTGCGTCCTCTATCTGGCCCTCACCTTCTGTCTAAGGTGCCTGGCCGTCGAGGATGATGGGTGCGATGAGGCCGAGGACGAGACGCACTTTGGCTGCCGTCAGGGGGAATCGTTGGGCGAATGGCGCGTGATGGGCCACACCTGCTGCTGCAGCCTCGGTGGTATAGATGGTGACGCGCACTGCACGCAGACAGAGAAGAGGCCACAGGACGGCACAACAGGCATTGCGGGTTTGCTGGTCTCTTAGGTGTATGCGTACCGTTCTGGTTTTCGCCTGGAAGGACGCCAGGGGAAACCCATGCGGTGAACGGGTCGGCCGATGATGTCAGCACATGCGACTGCCCACACGCCCCACCGACCGCCTCAAATGTCAGCACGTGTGAGCATGCGTCAAGGGGCGTGTGCGGCGATCGAGTCAGCATGCGATCCAGATGGCCACCACGCACACTCCTGACATACACACATGGACGCAGGACACACAACGTAGGCCATCTACCCTGGAGTGGCCTGCCGTCCATCCACTTACCGGTCCACCATCACTGTTCCTGAGCCGGACGTGCCGCTCACAACCACCCTCCGGTGAACCAGCAACAGAAGCTTCAGCAGGGAACTCGTCGACGCGTAAACATTCCCGTCGTTGGCGTCAGCTGTCGCCCAGCCCGCACCAAACTGCCACAGAATGCGGGAGCGGACGGGCGGGTCGTGCGGCTTGGCGTGCTGCTGGAAGGGGTGGTGGGAGAAGGGATGGCCGCGGCGGGTGGGGTGGGGGAGGGGCGGGTTAATGGTGATGGCGAAGTTGGGTTGGTTGCGGATGGCGCGGATCTCGTTGGTGCGGCGGAACAGCTGGAGGGTGCCGTCATGCTGGCCAGTGGGCCGGCGGAGGGCCACATGGCGGCCGACGAGCATCCACTGCGCACAGAAACGGGCCAGCGATCAGTACTCCTGCAGCCAACACACACACAAGCACACAGAGAGCCATCCACCCATTGCCCCATTGCCTCTTCTCATGTGTGTCGCGCTTACCGCCTTGCTAGCGTGTATCTGCAGATCTCCAGCACCCACAGTGACCGGCAGCTGGCAATAGCCAAAATGCTCAGCGAATCTGAGTGTGTCCGCCGCCTCCCCCCAGCCACCCTCGCCCCCCTCCTCCACCACCCACATGGCCTTCATCACATCGCCGTGGCACAGCTGATCGTCGAACCGCACCACACCGCCCACCCCCGCACACTCGATGGCCTTCCGCAGCCGAATACGGCGGATGATGGGCCGCAGGGCGTTTCTCAAGTGACGGGCTGTCGCCTTGAGTCGGCCGACGGCGGTGGGGTCAGAGAGTGCCAGGACGATACTCATCGGCTCGGCGGGAATGTCAGTCAGGTGCAACCGCCGCTGGGCCTGATGACACATAGAAAGACACACCGGCAGCTGTGTGCCTGTGTGTGGTCTCTCTCTCACCTGAGTGCGGGTGTGTGTTGTGAGTGCGATGGTCGAGTCGATGTCGTCCGCCAGCTGGGCCAGACGGGCCGATTCGTTGGCGAGCTGACGACTGACCCCTGGCCAACATCTGACGAATGAACCGCACGAGAGCACACGACAGCACCATGACACAGAGGCCTTTGTGCTGTCATTGTGTGGCAGTCTGGCCGCACCAGGGGTGTAATCGCAGCGGTGTCCAGCTGAGAGAGTCGGCCGATGCAATTGTTGACCTGTACACCGCAGCACACACACAGGCACCGATGAGCGATGGACTGAGTGAGTGAGTGAGTGAATGAATGAATGAGTGTGTTGATTGCGTACCCTCGCCTGATTGGTCTGATAGCCTGTTATCTGTGCCAGCAGCTGCTGCCGCATCGCCGACGTTGACATCTGCAGAGATTCCCATGACAAACGACACAATCACAGAAACACAGACAGCACACACGATGATTCACGCCGGGATCTCCGTGCTTTGCTCGGCCCCGCTGCTCTTCTCGCCTGAACAGCGCTGGCATCCATCGTCATCTGGAAAAGAGGCGATGAATCAGACTGCTACATGTACATCTATATCAAAGGAGATGCCGAAAGCGCCGAAGAAGGAAACGGAAAGTGCGAGCTCGAGAATCTCTTGGCCAAGCTCGCAGCGTTCGACTCTTCAACGTTCCCGCATTTATCAGGCGCACAGGGCAGCTGCTGATAACCAGGATCTCACTGTTGTGGCTTTCTTCTTCACCACACCAGTCAGCTCAGTCAGGCCGTCTGTCTGTCAGCATCTATCCATCCATCCCATCCCATCCGTCGCTCCAATGATCATGTCTGGTGGGTTTAAGCCCCACGAGATAGTAGGTGCTGACGAGAGGGACATCGAGAAACCTGCCTACTGGGTAAGTGCCTTCCTTCGTCCGGTGTGATGTGATGTGGTGTGATGAGGCCCCTGGCCTCTCTTCTCTTAATTGGCTTTCTTTCTGACTGTTCCTTCTTTCACACTCACGAGTTCACTGGTGTGTATTGTGTGTGTATTGTATGATCGATCTGTAGGTGCCCGATGACGAGGTGACGGCGTGTATGCAGTGCAACGCCACCTTCAACCTCGGCAAGTGGAAACACCACTGCAGGGCTTGCGGAAAGGTAAGGCAATAAGCACACAAAACCACACACAGGAGCTGGTGCTGTCATGTGTGTGTCTGTGGCGGATGATTCATCCAATTCATGCGATGCGATGCGATGCGATGGTTGCAGGTGTTTTGTGCCGACTGTTCGTCCACTCGGCTGCGCCTGCCTGACATGGGGTACAACGACAAAGTCCGCGTCTGCGTAAGCACAGCACAGACAGACAGACAGACAGACAGACACCACCAAGCCAAGCAACCCACACAGACGCGATGGATGGATGGACTGACCGTATGGTATGTTATGTTTGTCTGTGTGTCGGCGTGTTGCTGCGTCGGTCCGCTTCGTGACCCCTCCCTCTCTCAGGACGGTAAGTTTGGCGGGAAAGCAGCTAGTATTGCATCTACTCTCTCCCAAGTGCCTGCGTCTGTTGATCTGTCTGTCTGTCTGCCTTGTGTGGGTCAGACTGTGCCTTCCGGCGTGCCAGCAGCAAGACACAGTCGCTTGCCGAAGATCTAGGTGGGGGAGCGAGAGAGGGAGGGAGCGAAGGAATGAAAGCCACATGGCGTCCCTCCATCCATCAATCAATAATTCGGATGTTGTGTGGTCTGGTCCTGTGCGTCACTGCGCTGCCCGGCAGACGTCAAGGAGCAGATCAACGCCAAGCTCAAGAAAGCACTGGTCAGTCAGCACCGCACCGGCACACATAATACACATCGTGCACTGCACTGCACGCCACAGGATCCTATAGATCCTTCCTGTGTCTGTTCGGTCGTGTCTGTCTGTTTTGATCTGATACGCAGGAGGAGAAGATGCGGTTGATAGAGCGGTTCAAGGCCTTCCTGCTGGAGGTCGAGAGCGAAGTCCTCGGCGGATCCGCAGACACCCACGCTGAGTGAGTGACACACCCACGCTGAGTGAGTGAGTCAGTGAGTCAGTGAGTCAGTCAGTCAGTCAGTGAGGCAGGCAGGCAGGATGCGCAGGAGCACCTTCATGGGGCTCTCTCTCTCTGCCTGTGCGTGTGTGTTTCAGCTGCGCCCCTCCCTCCACCGACGATTCCTTCGATCTCATGCTCAGGCAAAGCGAAGGTCGGCAATTACATACAGACGTACGTGTGTGTGGCAGTGTCTGTGTGCCAGCCAGGGAGGCTTGGCTGCACTGCACCACACCGTGCCTGTCTGACAATATCTGTGGTGCGTGCAGCTGGTTTCAAGAATGTGAAGCAGTCGGTGCAGCGGATGGAACAGCAGAGCCAACACTAGTAAGCAAGCAGCCCACACCACACCACACACTGGGTGCGGTGCTCGTCTGGCTGTCTGTCTGTCTGGCTACCATGCATTGTGTTTCTTGTGCCTGCCTTGTGTCGTTGTCCCCTCCCCTCCCCTCCCCTCCCCTCCCTCTCTGGCTGCAATGCAATGCAATGCCATGTGCGGGCACTGCACTGCACTGCACTGCACTGCAGCCAGATTCAGATCCGCAAGTTGGAGGAAGACAGGCTGGCAAGGTGAGTCAGGTGGGGAGCAGCAACACCAACGTACCATACCATTGGTTGGTGTGCAGTGCAAACATGTCTGTCTGTATGTGTGTGGCCAATCAATCGAATCAGGGAGGCGCAGATCCACCAGCTGAATGGCCAGCTGAGGCAAGCAAAGGCCGACCAAGCAGCTCTGCAACAGGTGAGTGAGCAAAGCGGGACCAGCACAGCACCTCTGCAGTGAGTGCAGCCGGGGTCATCCATCCATCCATCCATCAGTGTGTGTGTGTGTGTGTGTATGCTGTCCGTCCGTCTGTTTGTATCTCAGGTCCAGATTGAGAGGGACTCCCTCAGGAACGAGACAGAGGTGGGTGAATGGGGTGGCTCACACAGAGATAACAGAGATAACAATCAGTCAATCAAACGATCTGTCAGTCAGTCAGTCAGTCATGAGGGAGGCAATGTGTTTATGTATGTGGTTTGTGTCCGCTCTGTCTGTCTGTGTGTCTGTTTGTGCTGTGCGTGTTTGCAGGAGCAAAGGCGGCTACTGGCTGACTATCAGAGGCAGATCGAAGGTATGCAATGCAGTGCCAGGCGGGCATAGCATACACCCGGCTGTCCTGTCCCGTCCCCTCTCTCAGCCCTGAAGCAGCGCTGCTACGTCCTGGAGAACGAGCAGAAGGAAAAGTAAGTGAGCCCCTTCCTTCTCCCTTTCACGCATGTCGTATGTATATAGTGTCCACATCTCCCACTCCAATCCTGTCGTGCGGTGCCTGCATTGCATCAGGCGTGCTCAGGCAGCGTCGAGTGCTTCGTCGGCCAGCGGTCGTGTGTCGCCCTTTCCGTCGTGGGGCTCTCACGACCCCCACCAGCGTCAGCGGCAGGCCGAGCCCATGAGCGGCCCCTCCACCGCTGCCGACAGCTTCGCCATCTCATACACACTCGCAGACGGACTCGAGGTGGGTCAAGTACTCGCGCACACCTGCACACACACACCACAGACCATGCCATGTGTGTGTATACAATGCAGGACCCGTTGCGGAGTGAGAGGAGCCGGACGACCTTGTGTCGCTTCTTCTTCTGCTGCACGCGTCGGTCCCGCCAGGCCCTCTTCAACCGCATCACTCAGTCATGTGCCATCCAGTGATAGCCAAGACACATAATGCATGCAGATGGGTGAGGGGACAGGCTGGATGGATGGATCATGTCAGAGAGACAAGGCAGTGTGGAGGGCACTCAGTGAGGGATTTGTTATTTGTGGTTAAGACGCGAGGCGACGGATGGCTGATGTATGGCTGGCCTG